CTCCTCCTCCTCCTCCTCCTCCTCCTCCTCCTCCTCCAACACCTCCTCCTCCAAGACCTCCTCCTCCAAGACCTCCTCCTCTGTCTCCTCCTCCATCTCATCCGCCTCCATCTTCTCTCTTCATCCTCATCCTCCCCCCGTATTCCTCCGCATCCTCCCCTCGCCTGCTCCTCCCCCAGCCCCCTCCTCCTGCCCCCCCTCCTGTGAGGGGAAGATGGGAGACAGAAGGCAGCAGGAGACGGGATGGCCGCGGAAGGCTCCATGCGCTCGCCACGGCACAGCGCGTGCCCTTCCAAGAGGGGCAGGGGCCCGCCTGCCGGCGCACTCGACCGTCCACGCCTCCGCGTCGCCGAGCGCCTCGGACGGCTCGCTCGCGCGCAGGACGCCGCACACCACCTGGGATCCCGCAGAGCTGATCGGCGTCTTTTCGTTCGTCGCCCGCGGTCGATCGCCGGCGGTGATGGCTCAGCGGGCACGAGCCACCGCAAACCCTCGCCGTCGTCACCGCCCCACCAGCAGGCGGTCACAATCGAGAACGGGTCGGTGGCGAGATGCCGATGGTTGAGGATCCTCCTCCTTCTCCTCCTCCTCCTCCTCATCCTCCTCATCCTCGTCCTCATCCTCATCCTCATCCTCATCCTCATCCTCCTCATCCTCCTCCTCCTCCTCCTCCTCATCATCATCATCATCATCAGCATCATCACCACAATCCTCGTCATCATCATCATCATCAGCATCATCAGCATCAGCATCAGCATCATCACCACCATCATCCTTCTCCTCATCCTCCTCATCATCATCGTCATCATAACCGCCATCATCACCAGCATCATCATCATCATCATCATCATCATCATCGTCATCGTCATCGTCATCGTCATCACCATCATCACCATTCGAATCATCATGTTGTCATGATCATCATCAGCAACAGCCTCACCACCGTCATCATCAGCATCATCAGCATCATCATCATAATCAGCATCATAATCATCACCATCACCATCAGTAGCCTCATCACCATCATCATCGTCATCAGTATCAGCATCGTCATCACCATAATCATCAGCAGCATCATCATCGTCATCATCGTGACCACCATTATAAGCATTCTACTCATCAGGTTGTCATGAGCATCCTAAGCAGCAGCCACATCGTCATCATCATCATCATCATCATCATCATCATCATCATCATCGTCATCATCATCATCATCATCATCATCATCATCATCATCATCATCATCATCATTAGTAACACCATCATCATACCATCATCACCATCACCATCAGCAGCCTCATCATGATCAGTATCACAATCATCACCACCATCATCAGCAGCATCATCATCAGCATCATCATTACCACCACCACCATCATCATCATCATCATCAACATCATCATCATAGTCGTCATAGTCATCATAGTCATCAGCATCATCATCAGCAGCATCATCATCAGCAGCAGCACCATCATTATCATCATCATCATCATCATCATCATCATCATCATCATCATCATCATCATCATCATCATCATCATCATCATCATCATCATCATCCGCCCTTTGCTCCTTGCCCCCCCCCTTCCCCCTCCCACCTCCCGTCCTCTGCCCTCCCCCGTCGCGTCGGAGGAGCGCGGGCAGCCTGCCCCCCCCCCCAGGGGCTGCGGCCTGCGAGGCCCCGCAGCTCGCCCGCCCATGGCACGTCGAGGCCACCGGGCCCGCGCCTGCGGAGAGCACTTTGGGGGGGCGGGCAGGCCCTGAGCCACTCTGGGGCGCCAGTGCCGAGGAGGACGCGGCCGGGGACGGCCAGACGTGGACCAGGAGCGCCATAGAAGCAGCCATGGAAGGACCCGAGGAACCTCGAGCTCCTGCCGAACCCAAGCTGGTGCCTGCTGCCAGCGTGCGGGCTGCACTGTGGGGGGAGGTCCTGGCGGCCATGCCGAAGGAGGCCCTGTGCTCGCGATGCTTCGAGGCCGAACTGTCCAAGCTGCGGTTGACCAATTTCGAGTCCAAGGAGCGAGCCTCAGGGACAGGGTCGCGCGTTCGCTGCCGCCCGACAGCAAGCAGTCTGCAGCCAAGACGATGGCCGAGTTTCTCCATGGCGTCCGAAGCGCAGACTCTGCGCGGCGTAGGTCACCCTCGGCGACGGCGGGCAAGCGAAAAGGGGCCCCAGCGGGCACCGCAAGCACTGCACAGGACGCGGCCGTGTCCCCAGTGGGCCTCGCGGATAATGACTTCGACGGGCTTCTGGGCACCAGCCGCTCAGCGGACAGCAAGCAGGCGATGATCAAATTGGACGGGAAGCCTGGGATAAAGCGCCAGGAGAGTGGGTGCAGTGGCGCCAGCGCGGCGCGGCGGCAGTGTGGCCTCGCCTTTCCGACGCTCTACTTTGCCACATGAGGTGCTGCATCCATGTTCAATTGCGAGATTAGCGCTCAATGCCAAATTTTGGCTTCGCGGGAGCACCGTCAGTCAGCAGACCGACTGGGGGAAGACAAGCGCACGTACCCTTCATTGGAATGGAGAGCCCGCGACTTCCCCTAGCACGAAGCTGGTCGGGCTTTAAGAAAGAACTGCCATTGGCACATATAATCCCGCCGGCCCCCCTTAGCGGATGAGGTTTAGAGCGCTTCCTCTTTCAACCCCTGTCTTCTCCCTCGGGGAGGCGTTTACCCCTCCCCACACCGCCTCCCCTGGGTCTGGACAAGCAGGCTGGAGAGGCGTTAGAGCGTCCAAGATGGCCCACTATGACTCCAAAAGGGCATCCCGTCTTTACTCGGTGGCCTCCAGGATGGCCCCAAGAGATCACCAAGGTCCCCCGAGAAGGCCCCAAGAGGTAATCAAAGGCTACCCAGATCGCGCGAAGAGGCCCAAGGATGGCTCCCAGAGGCTTCCAGCTCACAGAACGAAAGCTCCAAATCCACAAAGACCTCTTGGGTTGAACCATCGTCGTCACTGTCGCAGTCGTCCTCCCCCGTTCTTCTCCTCCCCCTCTTCCTGGTCCTCCTCCTCCCCTCCTCCTCTTCCTCCTCCTCCTCCAACCGTTTCCCTCTCCTCATCCTTCGTCTGCTATTTCTCCTCCGGCCCGTCCTCCTCCTCCTTCTCCTCCTCTTCCTCCTCCTCCTCCTCCTCCCACCCCTCCTCCTCCTCCTCCTCCTCCTCCTCCTCCTCCTCCTCCTCCTCCTCCTCCTCCTCCTCCTCCTCCCCCTCCTGCCACCTAGAGTTCACCAGAAGTTGAGTGGAAATGTGTTGCGACAAACTCATCTTTCTTCTGCTTGCCTTCCTGCTCCCTGCTCCTACATCCCTCCTCTGTACAGCTAACGCCTCCCTGTCGCACACAGAGGCCGGGCGAAAGGGTGGGCCTGGCGTTGCGCCTGAGATTTCATCACCATTCATGATCCTGAAGCTTCAATTGTGTAGCAGCTTCCCAGATGGAGGGCGGTCCGCTCCCAAAATGTGGCTCTCGCCTGAACGCCGCGCACATTCGTCTCAAAAGTTTGGAAGAGCTTCACGGATGGAGGTCTGTCCGCTTCCAACAAAATTGCTGTCGCTTTGGCGCCGCGCGCATTTATCTGAAACATTTGCAATCTCTTTACGGATTGAGGTGGCTGTCGCCTTAGAGCCGTGCACATTCGACTTAAAAGTTTGCGGCGGTTTCACGGATGGAGGGCGGTTCCTTTTAAAAACTTGGCTGTCCTCTTAGTGTCACGCACGTTCGTCCGAAGAGTTTGCAAGCATTCCAAAGAATGTCATTGCTAGCGTTCCAGAAACGGTGTTCCGGCACGATGTCGGAATGTCAGGGCAATGCAGCCATATGGATTCGGGATGTTGAAATCCCAGGAATGGTGTTCTGGCACGGGTCAGGGTCGTCAAGACGCAACAGTAGCAGTGATTCGCGGCGTTGAAGTCCGGGGAATGGTGTTCCTTCACAATCCTCGACGCCCAAGCGATTGTCTTCCAACTGGCACTTCCTTCGGTGAAAATGAATACATGCAGGAGCTCGGGAAGAGGGAGCTTGGGGGAGGGTCTGTTGCAATATCGTCGAAGAGGCTTGGGTTTAGATTGGTCCTCCCTCCTCTTCCTCCTCCTCCTCCTCCTCCTCCCGCCTCCAACTCGCAGCTTCTCCATCTGACCATATGCATCATCAGCATCACCATCACCATCACCATCACCATCATCATCATCATCATCATCATCATCATCATCATCATCATCCTCATCCTCATCCTCATCCTCATCCTCATCCTCATCATCATCATCATCATCATCATCATCATCAGCAGCATCATCAGAATCATCATCAACATCAGCATCACCATCAACATCATCATCACTTCCACCACCACCACTATCAGCAGCACCATCAGCATCATCAGCATTATCAGCATCAGCATCAGCATCAGCATCAGCATCATCATCATCATCATCATCATCATCATCATCATCATCATCATCATCATCATCATCATCATCACCATCACCAACACTACCATCATCAGCATCATCATAATCCTCGTCATCATCTTCATCATCATCAACATCATCATCCGCATCATTCTCCTCTGCCCCCCTCATTCGACAGGGCTGAGGAAACATGTAGTCGGGCTGCTGAATCCAGGAACACAGAATATGAAACATAGCCCAGATGTATGAGGAGGGCTAAAGGAACACCCACGGAATGACCTAACGAACAGAGAGCTCTTTCCGAACCCAAAGCCGTCCTTATTTCAGCGTCTTGACCCCATATGGTTCACCCCTGGGTCTGCGTAAGCTGATTCCAAGTTCTCTTTTGACGGCTCAATCCAAGCGCGCAGGCAGTGCTGGGGGGCCAGAAGATACCGATACCGCTACTCCCTGGACCTCTCCTGGGGTGCGCTCTGACCAGAATTTCGAGGCGAACCCGACGGTGGCAACGAACACCTCCCAGGAGGCCATGAAGGGGAAGACGAGGGGAAATGTGGCGGCATGGGTACCTTTTCCTCCTCTGACCAGTGCTGAGGGGGCCCTGTGCGCCCACACCACAGGTCACTCGGACAAAGGGCCACTCTCGCGCGTAGCCGAGCGACGCAGAGAGTGCGCGCGCACGCGCGCCACTCCTGGCATCGGCGTCCCCACCCAGGTGTGCCCACAGGGCGGCTCACGGCGGGGGCGACCGGCCGCCCACACAGGAGGCTACCGCCTGCCGCGCTGGCGACGGGAACCCGGCAGGAACCGCAGGAGGCAGCAGATAGGCTGCGCTCGAGGGCACTCGAGGCGTTCCACGAGGGGCCTCGCCCTAGAGAGCCGACTGAGCTGCCATCTCTTCATCCGCGGAAGGCGGCGAGAGGTCTGCGGAGGGAGGCGGAAGCAAAACGGGGGCGGCTCCGGCGGCGGCAGACCGGCGGAAGGCGGCGGGAGTAACAGCTGCGCTCCCAAAGAGATGGCAACACTTACTTGTTGGCTCAGGGTTTCCGGGGCCCGCCATCTGTGGGGGAACAAGACCAGTTTGGGTGACACACGCCGCCGTGGGGGGCCGTATGGTGCGTCACGGTCGAGGAAGCACCAGTTCTTCAGAATAAGTGCGCAAGAGTAACTCCGCCAGTTTCCGCAGGCCCTTTCGCCAGTTCCCGCCGGCGGAACCGCCCCTATGTTACATCCGCCGCCTTCCGCTGGCCTTCCGCCGCCTTCCGCCGATGAAGGGATGGCAACTCGTTCGGTTCTCCGACGTATGTTCGCCTGCTTCCGCTGGTCATGCGCCCGACTTCTGCTCCACCTGCTTCCGCTGGTCACATGACGAGGGCGAGATGCCCCCCTGGAGCGCTCCGCATGGGCGCCTTTCTGGCCCTCCCAGCGCTCTCCCTTCCCTCCCCTATCCCCTCTCCCCTCTCCTCCTCCTCCTCATCCTCCTCTCCTCCTCCTCCTCACTCACTCACTCACTGACTCACTCACTCACTCACCCACTCATTCACTCACTCACTCACTCAGTCACTCCTCCTCCTCCGCCTCCGCCTCCGCCTCCGCCTCCGCCTCCGCCTCCGCCTCCGCCTCCTCCTCCTCCTCCTCCTCCTCACTCAATCACCCACTCACTCACTCACTCACCCACCCACCCACCCACCCACCCACCCACCCACCCACCCACTCACTCACTCACTCACTCACTCACTCACTCACTCACTCACTCACTCACTCAGTCATTCCTCCTCCTCCTCCGCCTCGCCTCCGCCTCCTCCTCCTCCTCCTCCTCCTCCTCCTCCTCCTCCCCCTCCTCCTCATCTCCTCCCCCCCGCCCTCCCTCCCCTTCCCCCCACCCCCCTCGGGCGCGAGGCAGGCGCACCTCGGCGGCCCGCAGCTTCTGCAGGCGGGCGGCCTCCCCGAGCAGCGCCCTGGCCTCGGCCAGCCTGGCGGCGGCGTCCTCCACGGCCTCTGCCCGGGCGCAGCCCGAGGCCCACCAGGGCAGCTCCTGGGACCGAGGACCGAGGAGGAGGGAGGAGGAGGAGGAGGAGGAGGAGGAGGAGGAGGAGGAGGAGGAGGAGGAGGAGGAAGAGGAGGAGGAGGAGGAGGAGGAGGAGGAGGAGGAGGAGGAGGGAGGAGGAGCGAGGAGGAGGAGCAGGAGGAGGAGGAGGAGACGGAGGAGGAGGGAGGGGAAGGAGGAGGCAGGGGAAGGAGTAGGAGGCACGAGTTGCCCCCGAACCAGGAGGGAGGAGGTACGAGTTGCCCCCACTTCAGCGACGATCGAAAATGGGCCTTACGCGAGATGGCGTAGCGACCATACGCGGCGGCTTGCGCGGGCCGCCAGCGCGGCACGCCACGTTGGGGACGAGGGCGCTTACGCGCGGCCTCACGCGGGCAGCTTACGCGCCAATGTCGGCGCAGACAACCCGTTTTTCGCGTCGCTCACTTGGGTGTCCTTCCAAGACGAAGCCGGCACAGAGGGGCTGCCTCTCTGAGAAGACGTTCGAAGGCAGCTCCTGGGAGGCCTTCGCTAGAACGACTCACGGCGATGAAGCTCGGTTAAGGTGCTATCTCGCCGGAGGAGGCAAGATGAAGCCCAACCTCGTTTTACACCAGAGAACAACCCCAATCAAAGGATGGTTTGAAATGGGATCGGTAAAAAGATCGATAAGGAGATCGACCAGGAGCCCGGGAACCCGGAACCAACCGAAATCGGCCGGGAACCAATAAACCCGGGAACCCAAAACCAGAAACCCGGGAACCCAGCTGGCCACCAACATCGGCGGGACACTTTCGCCAAATCTTTCAATTTCCGCTAGGACACCTTCAGTGCAAGCTCTGATTGGGGAATCAGGCCAAATAAATTAAGCCGGATGAAGCAAGATTTAACAGGTAGCAAACCGGATTAACCCCGATTGAGCTGGTTGTCGACCGCGAAAATACCAGCACTGATGCAGAACTCAACCTCCCAGGACTTGCATCCCAGCAGAGGGGCTGCCCCTCCCGACTCGGGGGTCCCAAGACCGTGTTGTGACAGACCACGCGGTGACTTCGAAATCCCAGTGGACCTCGGTTTGTCGAGGGCGGCCAAGAGGGGGCGTCCAAGAGGGAAGGGCGCAAATCATGGCCGGCGGCATGTGCGCGGCCCAAATGGGGGCCAGGGACGTAATGAAATAAGCAGAGGCGCCATGAAATCAGGGGAATTATGATGACCCGCGCAATGATATCCCCCCCCTAGTCATCACTCCCGTCTTGGCCGCCCCCGAGTTTTGGGCCCCCCTCCAGGCCGGAGAGGGTACCAATACCGCTGCTCGTCGTGGAGAGCTCTTGTCGCATCGGCTGCACCCCCCTTGGGAGGCACGAGGACAGCCTATAAAGCCCGTCTGAGGGGGCCGCTGAGTCGGATTGGGTCGGATTCAGCCTGGGAGTGAACCGGATGAAACAGGATCAGGCTGGATTACGCAGGATCAGGCCAGATCAAGCGGAACTGAACCAGAACAGGCCAGGCTTCGAAAAGGGATCTACCAGCGCCGATTCATCGTTTCACCTCCCAGGAGTTGCATAGTCTCCCACAAGTCTCCCACAACCTTCCCAACACATTTTTCACAGGTGAAGAAGGAATCGAAATTCGAAACTGCTGCTCGTCGTGGAGACCTCTCGTCGCCATGGCTGGATTATCCTCGAAATTATTTTAAGAACGCAGCCTGGGAGATGTGCAGGAAGTAGCGGTATAGGTACCTTGTGGTTTCCCACAAGGTTTGATTTCCCGGCAACCACATTGGAACCCTATCTTTGCGTGTGAAATTTCTGAAACTCCGGCTGGGGATCAGGATTATAATGATGTCTACAGCCAGGTGAGCCCCAGCGGAGGTGCCTGATACCCCAGCGTCAAGTGGCCCCCAGGGATAGGATTCGCAAGTGGTCGCAGACCCAAGCTACGCACGCGCGAAGGCAATAGGATATCATAGAAGCCCGCTGACCGCCAGGATCATAGGTTCAGAACCAAAGCCAGCCAGCCAGATTGCGGCCCAGTCGCAAGCAACGCGAACGCACACCAATCGCAACGCAACCAGAGGCCAGTCGCTACGAACTAACTTCGAAACACGCGCGCATAGGTCGGTCAACGAGACGTTATTGGACGTGCCATCCAGCCGACCTAATCGTGTCTTCGCAACCCGTGGGGCCCTCAGATTCAAAGTATTTCGCAGCCATGACGACGCGCGCTACCAGATACCTGCCGCCGGGCACCATGGACTCAACGGCCCAGGCACTGGCGACAGGGCACGGGCCAGGGGCCGCGGCCACTGGGCAATGGGGCACGGGCCACGGGCAACAGTCCACGGGCCGCGGTCCACGGGCCATGAGCAACGGACCGCGCGCCATGGGCCACGAAGCGCCCCAGGGGCCACGAGAACGAGGAGGCAGCCTGGGAGGGGGGGGGAGCGACAGGAGGGGAGGGGAGGCAGGAGGGGAAGGCGGGATGCGTGCGGGGAGAGGGGGGAATCTGAAAAGTGCGCATGTGCGTCGGTGAACCGCGTGACCTGGCCATGTGCTTTCGCAGAACTCATGCCCACGCGAATCCTATAGGGATTGTGATACTGTTTTTGATTGTGACTCTGGGGTGCAAGAAAGATTCGGAACCCATGGTGTTGCCATGTGTTCCTGGCAAACTCGTGTCCGTGCGATTTGGTTTCTGGGGTTCCATGGCCAGTGCAATGCGTTCTCTCGGAACTCATGGCCGTTGCCATGTGTTCTCGGCAAACTCGTGTCCGTGCCATGGTCTCTATGGGGATGGCATGGCCAGCGTCGTGTGTTCTCTCGGAACTCGAGGCCGACGAACGGATTGAGCACCATTTGGCACCGCAAGGTTTTCGCGATCGGCCCCGTCGCAAATGTGCCGCGGCGCCGAGAGCCGCGGTATCGCGGGGACACGCGGCCATCGAGGTCACGGGCCAGAATGCCGAGAAACCACGGGCCGCCACGGGACCATGGAGCCACGAGCCACGGGGCGCTCGGAGCCACGGTGCACGAAAGAACAACGAACATTTGCAACGCGGTAAGTTCGCATTGTGCCACTGGTGAAATGTGCCTGCCGACTGTGCGGGCACAACGATCTTACACAGCGACTGCAAACAAACGCTCTAGGCGTTCAGTTTCAATATTCTTCATGAAGTGAATCATGCTACGCACACGCCCCTAGTCCTCACCCCCCCTCTTGGCCGCTCCCGATACGCACGATGGCATGCCGACCCTACGTGGCGGCATTATGTGGACCACCAGCCGAGCACGCGTCTAGGAAAACGAGGGTGCTTACTCGCCACCTCACGCAGGCAACTCGCGCACGAATGCCCGCGCAATCGAACCCGTACTTCTGCCTCCCAGCACATTGAGACAAAACTCACGACGGCTGGTTTTTGACAATTTTCGGCCTCCGTGGGCGCTGGCCGGGCCGCAGCACCGTCAACAAAAGTGAGAGGTCGGGACTTGTGGGGGACATCCGCGTGGGAACAGAACAATACATCGGATCTCTGCCCACGCACACCCCAACGACGATGATGAAGACGACGACGACGACGACGACGACGACGACGACGACGACGGCGACGACGACGACGACGACCACGGGGACGACGACGGCGACGACGACGATGGAGCAGGGAGGAGGGAGTGAGGAGGAGGAGGAGGAGGAGGAGGAGGAGGAGGAAGAGGAGGAGAAGGGAGAAGGGATGGAATTGGGCATGAGGGAGGGGGCGAGAGGAGCACGAGGAGGAGGAGGAGGAGGCGGAGGAGGAAGAGCTGGAACGCTAATTACAAGCATGGCGCATGAAATCCACACAACCCAATTCAATATCAGGAGCCTCATGTTTCTCCTCCCTCCTCCTCCCTCCTCCTCCTCCTCCTCCTCCTCCTCCTCCTCCTCCTCCTCCTCCTCCTCCTCCTCGCCCGAGAGGCAGCCCTGGGTGCTCCAGGTGGCCCGCTCCGCAAGCCCAGGATTCCCAAAAAGCGTGCACCGGGCAGATGTCCGACACGCCCTCTTCCGGGTCGGCATAAGCACAAGCCAGCCGGCCCCACGTGGTTCCCAACCCCGGGTCAGCCAGAGTGGATTGGCTGACCCGTTAGCGCAGAACCCCGTCACGTGATCCCCGAAGATGTCTGCTTCCGCCGTCCTTCGCAGGCGGAGCCGCACCCGCGTTCTGTCCGCCGGCTCTGCTCCGCCGAGGGGGAGACGTCAACCCGATCTGTGTCCCTGGAAGGGCGAGGCCCTTCCCGAGCGATACAGCCTCCACTGGCGTCAGGGGGCCACTCCTGGGATGGCCTCGTTGGAACGGGGCGGCCACATGTGAACCCTACCCCTGCAGGTCGCATGTCTGCAGAATCGGCGGGGGTTCGGAGTTCGAAGGATGTCTACGGCCAGGTGAGCCGTCCCGCGGGGGTGCCCAGGGAAAGGTTCGCAACTGGTCGCAGAGGCTATTCAGCCCGATCCAGGGGCCAGAGGCGGATTGGGCCAGATCAGGCCTGGGATTGAGTCAGACTAAGAGGGATGAGGCCCGATGGCGCGGAAAAAACCAGACCACGTGGGATCAGGCCAGAGAAGGCCGGTCGTCGCCCAGGGATCTACCAGCGCCGATTCTGGGTTTGACCTCCCAGAACATGCCCCCTACTCAGCGCAGGTGTGTCGCTCCTGCAGGAGCGTTAGCTTGGCCACCAGCGCCGCCGCACAGCCGCGGGCGTGGCCGCTGCGCAGCTCCCTCGCCAGCAGCTTCTCCCGGCGGTTCAAAAATGGAGTCCTGAGGGCATGGGGTCCTAGGGACGAGGTGCCTCAAACAGCGTGAATCCATCCACCTTGGATCCCTTGCTTCGGCGGCGAGCCCAGGGAGGAAGTGAGAAGGAGAAAGCCTTTTCAGAAGGCACGGACGTTCCCCGGCCTTCTGAGAAGTTGTCTAAACCTTCCCCGAAGACACAGCAAACTTCTATAACCAGGCGGCAGGGCTTCGGAGACGTCCCGCCCACTTCTAAGAAGGCCTTCTCCTTCTCACTTCCCCCCGTCGCTCGCCGCCGATTCCTATCCTTAGGTTCCCATCCCGAAGGATGGGGGTACTAAGGACGAGGTGCATCGAACAACGTGAAGCCAACCTTAGATCCTTACTTGGGTCTCTATTCCTTCCTATCCTTAGGTCTCAATCCCGTCATCCCTTCCTATCCTTAAGTCACAATATCGTAACTGGGGATCTCAAACACGTAATCCCTTCCTAGCCTTCGGTCCCCACCCCTCAGGACCCCACCTTTGAGCCACCGCTTCTCGGCGTCTTCGCGGAGCGCCTGCAGGACCTCCGGCGGGGCGCCGACGGGTTGCGGCCCCAGGTCCACCTTCTGGCGGCGGAGGCTGCTCCAGGCCCAGGCCCTCGAAGACCCCCCTGCCACCCACCCCTCCTTCTCTCCTCCTCCTTCGCCTCATCATCCCCCCTCGCCGCCTCCTCGTCCTTCTCCTTGCCCCACCCCCAGCCCTCCACCCCCCCCTCTGCCCCACCCCTCCTCTTCTCCTCTTCCTTCGCCTCATCCTCGCCCTCCGCCCCTTCGTCCTTCTCCTAGTGCCCTGCCCTCCACCAACCCCTCCGCCCCAACCCTGTTCCTCCTCCTCCTCCTCCTCCTCCTCCTCCTCCTCCTCCTCCTCCTCCTCTTCTTCTGCTTCTGCTTCGTCTTCTCCGTCGTTTTCTCACTCCTCCTCCTCCTCCTCCTCCTCCGCCTCCTCATCCTACTCCTTCGCCTCATCCTTCCCCCTCTCCTCCTCCTCGCCCTTCTCCTACCTCCCCCCCCACCTTCCACCCACCCCCTCCGCCCCCCCCCCCTCGTCCTCTGCTCCTCCCTTTGCCTCATCCTCCCCCCTCTCCGCCGCCTCGTCCTTCTTCTACTCCCCCGCCCTCCACCCATCCCCTCCACCCCACCCCTCTTCCTCTCCCCCTCCTCCGCCTCATCCTCCCCCCTCTCCGCATCCTCGTCCTTCTCTTTCCCCCCCCCGCCCTCCACCCGCCCCCTCCGCACCACCCCTCCTCGCCTCCTCCTCCTCCTCCTCCTCCTCCTCGCCGCTTCCTGCCCCCCTCTCCGCATCCTCGTCCTTCTCCCCCCCCGCCCCCCCCGCCCTCCCCCCCCCCCCCCTCCGCCCATCCGCTTCTCCTCCTTCGCCGCATCCCCCCCTTCCACCACCTCCTACCCCCCCCCCCACGCCCCCCCTTCCACCCCACCCTCCTCCTCCTCCTCCTCTCCTCCTCCTCCTCCTCCTCTCCTCCTCCTCCTCCTCCTCCTCCTACCTCCTCCTCTTCCGCATCCTTCTCCTCCTCATCGTCCTCCTCCACCTCCTCGTCCTCCTCCCCTTCCTCCTCCTCCTCCTCCTCCTCCCTCCTCCTCCTCCTTCTCCTCCTGCTCCTCCTCTTCCTCCTCATCCTCCTGCACCTCCTGCTCCTCCTGCTCCTCCTGCTCCTCCTGCTCCTCCTCCTCCTCCTCCTCCTCCTCCTCCTCCTCCTCTTCCCCCTCCGTCGCCTCATCCTCCCCCCTCTCCGCCTCCTCTCTCTATCTCTCTCTCTCTCTCTCTTTCTCTCGTAGCCGTTTCTGCGGTGCCCAGTCCGCGCCCGCGCGCCCGCGGGCCGCTGCGGACCGCCGCCCGTCCGGCGCGTGCGCGGGGGCCCCTGGACTCCACCGGGGGACCGTATCCGAAAGGGAGGGGGGGCAGGGAGGCCACCTCGACTTCTATCCACCTCGTCGTCCTTCTCCTCACCCACTCCCCCGCCAGCTTCCTCGTGAGGCCCTCGGGTCATGAAACAAATCATGACGGGAGGCTTTTCCCTATGTTCGGCCTCGGGGGGGCCTTACCGGGGCCCCGGGAGCGTCACACAACGGCTCGGGATGAGAAACCGGTCCAGGGGTATGGGTCTGAAGTCTGGGACTTTCCTGGAGGAGGAAAGAAACGGCATAAGCATAAACTTTGAGATCTCCGCACGGATTTCCTGGACGCCGCCCCTGGCGCGCTCCGCGCGCAAGGGAGGCAGGCCCGGCGTCGATCCAAGAAGTCCGCGCCCATCTCTCAAAGTTTATGCTTGTGCCAGTGGTTATTCTTCGACCTCTGGCGTCGGGAGTTGCCAGAGTGGCCGCAGCGTCCCAGGTGCGCCCCCCCCAACTCCTGCCCTCGCCCCCGGCCTCGTGAGGGTGCTGAGGCCGCGGGGGGCTCCCTGGAAAATCCTGGAGACACCTTGGGCCAGGGGCACTTTTGGCAACACCCGCTGGGGGAACGACGAAGTCTCGATACTGGTACGGTGGGGGCATTTTTTATCTATGTGGGCGCCGAGCGGGCTCGGCGGTTTCATGCATAAATTCTCCAATCAGCGCACGGCTAGCCCCGCCGCGCGGCGTGCGCGGGCGGCCGCCGACCCCGCGGCTCTCTCGCGCCCGCGGGCCGCCGCGGCAACTGCGAAGCCGCGGGCGCAGAGGACGCCCTCGAGCCCTGGGCGGACCTGCCGCGGCTCTTCGGCCTCCGCCCGCGGGGCCGCCGCGACCAGGCGCCGCGGCGCCGCGGCGCGCGGCGGCGCTGCCGCCTGGCCCCCATCGCCAGCCGCAGGTGGCGGGGGCGGGGCGGCCGCAGGCTGCCGCTGCGATGGCACGGGCGCCACCGCGAGCGCCTGCTCCTCCGCCCCGTGGCCCCGCCTGGCCTGGAGCGCCGTCGCCCAGCACAGGCGCGTGCTCTCCATCGGCGGGGCCAGCGGCGCGAACGGATCCTTGGACGCAGGCAGGGTGCCCCGTGCGAAGTCCGTCCGCGCCTGGGCTCGGGAGCCCCACAGGGACGTGGGCTGCCCAGCCGCCGCGCTGGCCCCACACGGCATGGCCAGGCCGCGATGCGCGCACCTGGGGAGGCGGCAGTACCCCCAGCACGCTGAGCAGACCAGGGGGGGCTCGGAGCCGTTGCCCTCGACGCGCGACCCCCGTATGAGGTGGCCGTAGACCCTCAATCCCGCTGGACGGGCCGCATCAGCCGCCACCTCAGGGGCTGGGCCGCTGCAAGCCGCCGCTGCCGCCGCCCGCCGCGGGCTGGGCGCGGGCGCCGAGGCCTCGCGGCGCCTCGACTGCTCCTGCACCCTGCGCTGGGGTGCTCGGCGCAGCACCTCCGCGGGCCTATCGGCCGAGGCGGGGCGGCGCCTCGCGGGCGACGGCCGCGAGCAGGAAGCGGCCGCTGCCGCCGCTGCTGCCAGGGCTGCCGCCGTGGCGAGGAGGGGGCCGTCGTCAGCCGCCGCGGCCTGCGCCTCGCCGTCGCCAACGTCAGCCTCCGCGACGGCCATCTGCATGTTGCCAGCCGCTGACACGACAGGCCCGCGCACCTCCGCGTCGTGCGACTTCCCGAACTCGCCGCGCCCCTGGGACTGCGACTTCGGTGGGCTGAATCCACCTGTCCCAGGGGCGGGCTCCGCCGCGGCGGCGTGCAGGAAGACGACCTCGCCGTCGAACTCTGCCACCAACTCGGCAGCTCGCAGCAAGCCGGCGGGGCTGCGACCTTGCCTCCAGCCCCCCCAGGCAGGGCACATGTGGTGGCGGCGGGCCAGGGTCCCGCTCTCCTCGCCGCGGAGCTGGCTCAGAGTCGCAGGCCTGGCGTCGTACTCCTGGACCGCTGCCTCCTTCCTGTCCTTCTCCTTGGCCTTCTCCGCAAAGAGGGCGGAGGAGTACCGCAGGGCGAAGCAGCAGCCGAACTCGTCCTGCTGGTAGCCGCCGTCGCCGTGGAGGCCCCTGTGTGACGCCAACGCTCTTTCGATCGCCCGCAGGAAGGCCTGCCCTTGCACAGTGGGCACCTGGGTCACCTCTTTCAGCGAGACGAGCTTCTTGTCTTCGAACGCGGTGCTGCCCGCCTGCTCGAACTTGTGCCCCAAGCTCCTGGCCACCTGCACCAGGTGCTTCATGTAGCCTACGTGCCCCACAGGGGGTGAGCAGCCCGCAGCAGCCGCTCTGAGCTGTCTGGCGATCCTCCCGAGGCGGAGGCGGCAACTGGTGAGGGGGCTGAGCTTCCTGACCGCCTTCCTGCGCTGCTGGTCCGCCAGCTTCTTCTTGACAGAGCGGGGTCCTTTGGCCCTGCCCTGGTACCACTCACCCTCGGAGATGCCGAACTGGTCGGTCAGGTGGAGCTCCGCGGTCTCGACGGACTCCTTGAGCCTCCTGAACGGGATCTCGAGGTAGGCGCTGACCTCCGTGACCGCGAGATCACCGAAGGCCACCCTTCGGGCCAGGATGCGGGCACTGCGCTGGTGCCCGTCGTGGTCGGTCGCCGCCGCGCCCCAGGTCGTTGACTCCAGCACTCCGACGCCCTCCGAGCCCGCCTGCGCCGCCTGCCCCGTGCTGTGGACGCTGCCGAAGGCGGCGCTGAAGCTGTTGCTCCTGGCCCAGCAGCAGGCGTTGGCCGCCTTCTGGCTATAAGCGCATCGCCTCTCCTGCGCCAGGATGACGTCGTCACCTCCTCCATCCTGGATCCGCTCCATCTCCACCTTCTTCTCTGACCAGGTCGAGACGTTCAGCGTGGCGAAGCTAGCTGGCTTCGGTCCCATAGGCCTGATTTGCTTGGCCAGCTGGAGGGGCTTGGCCTGCGGTCGCCCAGGCTGAGGCTGGGCCGCAGGCTGCTCGGTTGCCGCGGCGGCCGCGGGGCCGCCAGGCGGGCGGCTGCTCGCCGCCTTGGGGCTCCGAACCTCAGGGGGTCTCACGCCCTCGCCCGTAGCCTCGTCAACTTGAATTGGGTACCCACTATGGCATGTGGGCCCCTGGCTGGGCTGAGGACTGCCAGTCCTTCGGTCGGGCCCAGCCAAGCCAGCCGCAGCGCTTGGCTCTGCCCTGCTGCTGAGCGCCTCGAACTTGGTGTCGTGGCGCACGACGCCGAAGCGCCGTTCCTGGCGCAGCAGCGGCGCAATGAAGGGAAGTTCGACCCAGGCGTCGGTCGCCACGTAGGCCGCCTTGTAGGCGGGCAGGCCGCCACCCGGCGCCGCCGCCGCCTCTGAGCGGCTGGGCGCCGCCGCCTCTGTCCCCTCAGCCCCAACAGGGGCGGGCGGCGCCGCGCTGTCGGGGCCGCCGCCTGGCAGCAGGGTGCTACGCGCGGGCCAGGCCGCTGCCAGCAGCAGCGCCAGCAGGAGGTGGAGGGGCCGCCGCAGCGGCCTTCTGGTCGGCAGCGCGCTGGCGGGCCGCCTCGTCTGCCGCTCGGCTCTCCATCGCTGCCGCTGGGGGAGTCCCAGCTCCAGGCGCAGCGTCTGCGGCGGGGGCGGCGGGGGCAGCAGGGGCGGCCGCCTGCCCTGCAGGCTGCGGCGGGGCGCCCGCGCCCTGCACGGGGGTGCCAGGGGCCACGGCTGCTGCAGGCCCCTCCTCGGTGCGCTTGCGCTTCTTGGCCACCTCCTCCGCGATGTGGCGCTTGATGCGCTGCTGGTGCTCCTGGCAGTTGCGCTCGAACGTAGCCTGCGCGCCCTGCATGATCTGGAGCCCCTCATCGCAGAGGCGCCTGAGGGCGGCCTGCGCCTCCTCCTCCAGCTCGGCGAAGTTGTCAAACGACTCCGCGTCAAAGTGGAAGGTAAGCTGCCTCGCGCCGTCGGGCTGGGCTCCCACGACGCCCGCCGCTTGGGCACGCTGGCGCAGGAGGGCGTACTCCTCCTCCTTGGCCTCCGCGAGGCTGCCCGCAGCCTCATCACGCCAGCCGCGGCATTCAGCGAGGTGGTCCTCCGCCGCCACGAGCGCGTCCGCCGCCTCATCCAGCTGGCGCTGGAGGTTGATCCGCTTCGCCGTGGCCGACTCCAGACGTTGCTCGAGCGGCTTCGGCACTGGGGCGACCGCGGGCGCGACATAGCTCCGCGCTTCGCGGACCGCCTCCTGCAGCCTGGCTGCGATGGCTGGGTCCCCACTGGCGAGGAGCGCGTCGAGCTCGCTCTCGGGCAGGGCCGACCAGGGGGCCCTCGGGAAGGCGCCTCCGCCACGGCAGCCCGCGCCACCCCCGCCGCCGCCACGGGAGACTGCACCGCCGCCACCACGGTAGGCTGCACCGCGGCCCTTGCCGCCCTTGCCGTCCTTGGCTCCGTTCTTCGGTGGGCCTCCGCCGCCGCCGCCGCGATGTGCGAGTTGGGGTCCGCCGCCGCCACCGTCCGCCCAGACTCCAACGCGGGGCGAAGGCTTCGAGGGCGCCAGCTCCAGCCCGATCCCGCACAGCCAGCACTTCGCGTTCGAGCGGAAGTTCCAGCGGTACCGGCAGCCCGTGCACACGACGAAGCCAGGCACGGCCTTAGGCCCCATCCCTGGTACGGTCGGGCGCGCTGCTCACCTGCGGGCAAGCAGCAGGCAGGAGACGGCGGGGGCGGACCCGCCGACTCAGAAGAAGACTTGACCCGCAGGTCCTGGAAGGTGCTGCTGTGGCAGCTGATACACTTAGGAAAGGAAGGTGGCCTCAAAGCGGAACCTCCCTCGCGCTCAGAAGTCGCCCCGAAAGACTCGCGGTCGTCGGGACGGTTCATGGCCTTGAGCCAAAATGGCTACGGAACGGTGGGGGCATTGGGTAAGGAACCCTTAGATAAGGAATCCAGGGTCTGGAGCCCGGTGGAACTCCAATTGAGGCTTGGCCATGGGTATCACCGCCGCCCTCATCAAATAAGGAATCCTCCAGGGTCTGCAGCCTCCTGGCACATTCCTTAATCAACGCCCCCACAGTACTCCCACAGGCCGCTCTCTGGGCTGTTTGTTGACCAGGGCCCCGAGGAGATTCCAGCCATGGCGACCAAGGCCCCCCTGGAGAAGCGTGGGGAGGCATCAACGGGGGAAGGGCAGCAACATCGGTAACTGTGCTCTTCTCCGCTGGCCTTCTGCACCACGTCGCACTCGAGGCGCAGGATCCGAACGTCCTGGGCACGGCAGTGGGGAAGGAACCATTGGAGGAGTCCAGGGTCTGAAGCCAACGGAACTCCTATCCAGGGCATAGAGCCTCCCGTAGAGGCCCTCCAGATGGGATCCGAGTAGATGGGGTCGGAGGATCTCGCCGCTTCAGCGATGCATCGGCGACGTCGGCGATGCAACGGCGACGTCGGCGTGGAGAAAATCGGGGTCCGCATCGCGCCGCCACGCCGGCAGCCGGAGCTGGGCTCTTCCATCGCCAACCCCGCGTGGCACCCAGCCCCAGAAGGTCGCCCCCGCTCTCTCGACCACGAAGCGACTGACCTGGGCGGTCGGGAGCCGCGCCGGTAGGGCGACGAAATCTATACATATTCACTGCTCCCTGGCCTGGCTCATCCTGAACCCAGCAGCGCTGCATACGCCACGTCCTCCTGGCTTGTCCAGGAGGGCGTACACACAGCTCCTGGGTTCAGGTTGGGCCTGGCCAGGGAGCAGTGGACATGCATAGCTTTCGTGGCCCGAGCCGAGGCGGCCGCAGGATGCCCCAAGACCGCCACCACGAGGGCTCAACAAGTGGCACGCGTGGCCTGGCCCCTGCACGAGGGAGCGGCGAGAAGAAGGAGGCGCGTATACTGACACGGGCGGTCGTCGCCCGAGTCGCGGCGGCCGCAGGATGCCATTCCGCATCCGCGGCCTCGCGGGCCCGGTCCCTGGGCCGCGATCCCGCGGATGCGGCGCGTTTTTGTTCGCGGATGCCCCGCGCGGGGCGCATCCGTGCGCCCGCGTATCCGCGGGATGGCGCCCTGGAGCTGAGACTGCGAGGGCATGGATACGGATACTGTCGCCGCTCGTGACGAGCCCCCAGCTGGTCACCACCACCTGGAGCCCCCGACGCCTCTACCCTCCAAGACGGCATCCGGCAAGTCTCTACAGTCGAGGCGTTGACCCAAGGAACCCTAAATATGGAACGATCCCCCTTTTTTCATAAGTTCAACTTCGACTTCCAATCGAAAACTGAAGGAACACCTTAGGCAAGGTGTGAAGCAATTAAGGAACACCGAGCCCCTCCCCAACGAAAAGGGTTCCTTCTTCAGCGCCCCGACTGCATGAGGGGCCAAAGCCAAAACAGTAGCCGTTGCTTGTCGTTCGTCGGACGCTGGGCCCCATGAGGCCCCTACAGCGGCCCAGGGAGCCCCGATACGGCACGTGGAACCTCCAAGATGGCCGAAGGCGACGCCTGAGGCGCTCAAAGACGGCCCCCAGAACCACCCACACGTCACCACTGGTGGGCGTTTTTTGTTTTCGGCGTTTCGACATTGGGAGGAAGGGGGGGGGGTCTGGCTCTGGACCTCTGCTTAGTGCGACTGTTTGCGACAGTGCGGCCGATGGGGGAGGGACCCCACCTGCTCGAAACAGGCGCCAAAAAACATCCAAGATCTACTCCACGGGGGGGGAGGGGGGGGGGTGCGAGGGCCAGCGCCGATCGGCAAAACAGTGAAGAAAAAAAACACATGGCCGAAGGCAGCGCCTAAGGCGCTCATAGACGGCCCCGGAACCACCCACGCGTCACCACTGCAATGTTGCTTTATTCATGTTTCATGCTCTTCGGAAGAGCTCCGCAGAGCCATCGAGCCGAAGCACACCCAAATACCCCTCGGAGGCCCCCCAAAGGGCCCCAGGCCCCAAGTGTCCCCCAAGAAGCCCCTGCCGAAGCACCGAGGCGCTGCCTTCCGGGCAGCCCCTGCATGACTCTATATCTACCTTTTCGGGAGTGCTCGCTATAGGCCTATCGCGCCCAAGACAGCCCGAGCCTCTTCGGGAGCCGAGTATAACCATCCACCATACAAGCTGACGCTGCACTAGCACGGCGATGGAGCGTGTCGCAGACAAGGGTAATGGGCCACATGCGGGTCGATATATGACACGAAAACCGAATCGGCAGGGCAACACTGAAACGTTGGTGCAAACATTCGATGACTTGGCTACCATTTGAGATCGACTACAAAACCCTGGCCCAACAGCCCAGAACCCCTTAAGAGAGATCGGAATTCCTGAACCCTTGGGAGGCACCCCAAACTGCCAGAAACAACCCACATCCGTACACATGTGAATATGCGCTACCAGACACCACAGACAGAATGTGTCCGAGTGCCCAAGCCCTCACAGCGACCCAGACCTCGACGGCGCGAGTTCGCCACGACCTGGTCACTCTCTGGACCACTTCCCCACGACCAGCTTCTCACCCCCCGCCTTCCCGTGACGGCCCCCAGCTCCCGAGCTCGGCAAGGGCAAGGAACCCACAAAAGACGTGCGCGCCCAGCCCCGTGCATGCATACGGCCCCCCCAGCCCGCGAGACCAGCCTCGCAGCACGAACGTTCGCGCAAGGCGTACGTACTTTCGAAACCCACGTGGGCTCGTGTACGTGTACGTCCTTCCGTCGCTCCTGGAAGGGCCCCCCGTGAGGCCGAGAGCCAGCGAAGTCCGCCTCTGACGTCAACAAAAGGGCGCGAGGAGGGACGAGGACGCCCGAGGCGTCCCTCGGACAGAAACGACCCCCGCGTCCCCCAGAGACCTCCCGTCGTGATCTGGTCCCAGGTCCAAGGCCGCGCTAACGGCGATGTTGGTTAACGGCGAGGTTGGGACTCTTGATTTCTGTGACACCGAGCTCGCTCAGAACAAACTGTCGGGAATCACGAACCACACGCTCCTGCATTTCAGATGTGCGACTGCATCGAGCGAGAACGACGCAGCGAAGTGCAGGAAGGCACGAGCCACGATGTCCTACAATTGGATTGGCAACGAACCAGTCCCACCTACGATGCCGAAACCTACATCGCCCTTGTCTACGTTGCCGCTAGAGCGCCTACGGCAGGTCCTGCGCCCCAACGACCCCCGGCTACAGAGAACACGATCGCCCTCGAAGGCCGAGAGTGGTCGAAGACCTCCCGTCGTGACTGCCCCGTGGCGCGCGAGGAGGCCCGGGCACAACGCAGGGGGAACCCGCCCCGCCCTCCGCGCGCGGCCTCCGAGAGGAACGCCGCCAGCCGAGGCGCGGCCGCCTCGGACGCTCCCGCGCCCAGCTGCCTTCGGGTATGGACAGGACCCCCAGTGGAGGGTTTCTCCGAAGGGCTTAGGCGGCCCGTCCTCCTCCTCCTCCTCCTCCTCCTCCTCCTCCTCCTCCTCCTCCTCCTCCTCCTCGTCCTCCTCGTCCTCCTCGTCCTCCTCGTCCTCCTCGTCCTCTCGTCCTCCTTGTCCCCCTCCCTCCTCCTCCCTCCTCCTCCCCTCCTCCTCCTCCTCCTCCTCCTCCTCCTCCTCCTCCTCCTCCTCCTCCTCCTCCTCTCCTCCTCCTCCTCCATCTCCTCCTCCTCTCCTCTCCTCCTCCTCCTCCTCCTCCTCCTCCTCCACCTCCTCCGCCTCCTCCTCCTCCTCCTCCTCCTCCTCCTCCTCCGCCTCCTCCTCCTCCTCCGCCTCCTTCTCCTCCTCCTCCCCCTCCTCGGGTCGCCTACGGCCCTGGGGGAAACCGTGCATTTAGTAGAGTGTGGTTTAGTGAAAACGACCTCGGGCTCAAATCTGGCGGGCGCAAGCCTGGAAAATGGCGGCCGCGGCGCCCTCTCGAGAACCGAAAACAGGCGATTCTCTGATCGGCGCGTCAGGGTAGGGATTCTGTCAGCCCCGGCTGCCTCTGCAGCTCGGCGAGCTCGTGCTGCGCCTCCTGGTGCTTCCCCTGCCCAGGTGGGAGTGGGAGGCGACAGGAGAGGGGTGAGGGGCAACGATAGGGAGGGACTGGCACAAGGGGGGATGCATCGACCTGGAATTGGCGATACATCGCCAATAGATATGCCTCTGATAGTGAGTCCGCACCTTCCTGGGCAGGTTGGGGCTATCGGGCCCCTATCGGCGATCAATGGGCGATTGGGGGTCGATGCATCCTCCCCTGTGCCTGTCTCCCTCTATCGTTGCCCCTGAGAGGGGGGGGGGGGAGGTGGGTCCCAGAGATCCAGCGCTCCAGCAGAAACTGGAGCGGCCAATTTTGGAAAATTGTCGGCCTCTGGGGGCCCTCGCCGGGCCTCGGGACCGTCCAAAAACGACTCAGGGCGAAAAGTCGGACATAGGGAAGTGGTCCAGGCCCCTAGAGCCCACGCACGAAAGAAATTGCAGCGGCCAGATGCCTCGGGTCGACACAGGGAAAGTGTCGGGGGTTGCTGAAAAAGGTGCCCCTAGCCCAAGGTGCCCCGAGCTTTTCGCTCCGTTTTTTAATCCATGGGGCCCTCTAGGCCTCGCAGGGGGGCTCTGGAGGCCGCGGGGGACTCCTTGGAAATCCTGGGGGCAGCTTGGGCCAAGGGCGCTCCTGGCAGCACCCGAAAAAAGGGTAGGGTGGGGAAACCAAAAGGTACCGATACCGCTACTCACCGGACCTCTCGTGGGGTGCGCCCTGGCCAGGGCGTCGAGACGAATCCAGCAGCGGCAACGAGGGCCTCCCAGGAGGCCCAACAAGGGGACAACGGGGGAAGGGTAGCGGTAAGTCGGGCACGTCCCTTTGGCGGGTCATTCGAAAATAATCATACCAGCCCTTCAGGGCGTAGGTGGTTTAGGGTGTTTCCTCTTCCGCCCCTCCCTCTTCCCCTTTGGGGAGGAGTTTATCAATGTTCCCTCATAATAAACACCCCCTCCTCCCGGTGACCGGTAGCCAACCAGGAACCATGAGGACCCCCCCAACCATCCCTTGTAGAAAACAATACGAACATACACAGTCTGCCTCCAAATTCGGAGCATGCGCAGCCAACCCGATGCGGCCTTCCCCCACCATCCTTTTCAAAAAACGATACAGGGTACACTTGGCGGCGGCGGCTGCGGTGGCTGCGGCGGCGGCGGCGGAGGTGGCGGCGACGGCGGCGGGGGCGGCGGCGGCGGCGGCGGGCGGCGGCGGCGGCGGCGGCGGCGGCTGCGGCGGCGGCGGCGGCGGCGGTGGCGGTGGCGGTGGCGGCAGCGGCTGTGGTGGCAGCGGCTGCGGCGGCGGCGATTTGGCAGCGGGGGCAGCGGCGGCGGCGGCGGTGGCGGCGGCGGGCGGCGCGGCGGCGGCGGCGGCGGCGGCGCCGGCGGCTGCGGCGGCGGCGGATTGGCCCCCCAGTAGCTGAGGCTCGGGCCACACTCGGGTGTTACGTCTGTGTTGGGAGGGCGTGTGGGAGTGAGCGAGACGGCTTGCGGGCGGGGAGGGAGTCTTGATCCCTCCCCCGACCCCTCCCCTCTTCCCCTGATGACGGTTTGACAGTGTCCGACCCCCCCCGCGTACTGTTTGTTTACACGCAGGTTTCCCCGGAATTGGGTTTTCGCCAGCATTTGTGTTCAAAATGCTGCTCTCGCTGGGGCGCCAGCCTCATTTTCGGGCCCCGCTCGTTCCGAATCGTGCTCCCGCTGCAGCGCTGGCCTCATTTCCGTGCTTCCGCTCGTTCCGGATCGTGCTCCCGCTGCAGCGCTGGCCTCATTTCCGCGCTTCCGCTCGTTTTGACTCGTGCTACCTGCAGCGCTGGCGTCATTTCCCGTGTCATGCCACGGCATGCAAAGCAATGCTAGGTTGATACTACGCTTTGCGGTGCTCTTCTACGCCATGCCATGCCGTGCTCTGCAATGCATCGCGTACCCTTTCGGGATCATTGCCCTGCTCGACATCCGACTGTGCGAGTAGAGAGGGGATCTGCGCCATGGTAAGGGATGGGAGGGAGGGGCAGGATGTCAGATATGACGCGAGCGCACCTAGCTTGCCCGACCCCCTCCCCTGGACCTGGACGGGGCGTTCCGCGGATCGCTGGAGCGTCCAAAACGGCCTCGGCGAGGAAACCAAAATCACTGGCGTTACTAAGGTTTTGGTCCCATTTTGGCCTCTTGGGGGGGCAACGCTAATTTAGGACCCCCCCTTCTTTGATAGATCTCCTCCGAGATAGTCCCACGAGCGCTCCCAAGGCTCCCAAGGGTGCCCCAAGAGGGCCCCAAGAGGTGGCCAGGAGGCCCCAAGAGGCCCCCAAGAGGCCTCCAGGATGCCCCCAAGAGGCTCCCAAGAGATCCCCATGAGGCCCCAAGAGGCCCCCCAGAGGCACCCAAGACGCTCCAAGAGGCCTCGGCGAGAATGCCAAACGCAGTAGTTTTAAATAAGATGTTGGCCACAGTTTGGCCTCCTGAAAGGGGGGCGCTGCTTAAGATGACTCGATGACTCCAAGAGCGCCTGGGAGAGCCCAAGACAACCTTCAAGATGGGTAAAGATACCCCAGGATGCCTTAAGATGGCTCCCGCGATGCTCCAAGAGCCCCAAGACCGCTCCAAGACGGCTCCAAGTGGCCAAAGAGCTTTCCCAGGAGGCTCCGAAGAGGCCACAATCCTCCCACAACCTTAGGAAAATCAGTGTTTTTGGATTTCGCGCCTTTTCGCTTCCGATGGTCATCCGAGGCCTCAAGATGGCTTCTTCAAGGTGGCCCACGAGGGCTCCGAGACCGCTCCCAAGGCTCCCAAGAGCGATTCAAGAGGGCCCCAACAGGCGCCCAGGAGGCCCCAGGAGGCCCCAACAGGCGTCCAAGAGGCCTCCAAGAGGCTCCCAAGAAACCCCCAAGTGGCCCCAAGAAGCTCTCCGAGGCACCAAGAGGCCCCCAAGACGCTCCAAGAGGCCTCCACTGGGGGATCCTTCCTCTGTGTGCTGCCCACTTCCCTGATCGAGGCAATTCCTCTGGCCATCGTTTCTGGATGGGCTGGTGGGGTTACTTTTTTCGTCGCGGCCGCAGGCGAGGGCGCCAGCAGCGTCAGAGGTCGAGCGGGCTACGCGCGAGCCTAATTGCCTAGCGCAGGGTGACCGACTAGCGAACCTGAGCTGCCAAAGCTGCGCTGGTGGGTTTACTTTTCAGTCAGCGGCCGCAGGCGAGAGCGCCAGCGGCGAGTCCAGTCAGAGCGGGTCGCGCAAAGACGACTGGTGGGGTCACGCGAAACGTCAAGAATTTAAAAAATAGGCAGGGGACGATGTTTCTACGATTGATTGACTATGTTTGAAAGCATGTTTGACTATTTCTAATGTTTCGCCCCAAGTCCGCCTGTAGGAGGACATGCCCGGCCTAAGGGTCGCGGTATGGGTACCTCTTCCTCCTCTGAGTAGGGTGTGCAGGAGGAGTGGGATGGCCCAGGCCTCCAACGCACTGACAAGCAGATGCGGAGGTGCTTCGCCGTTCTCAGCTTCTGGGGGGCCCTCGCCGGGGCCCACAGGGGCCGTCAAGGAACGACTGGCGACCAACGGCCAGCCCATGGGAAAGGGGTCGGGTCTTCCCGGGGACCCACACCGAAAGCGTCGGATGCCTCGGAAGAAGGAGGGGAAGGTGAGGGGCCATGGAAGCTGGAGTGGAGCGGAGGGGGGCGTGGAGGACGAAGAGGGGACGGTGAAGAGGGCCTGACCAGCGAGCCCCAGGGCGACTGCCCGGTGGCACGCCGCGAGCTCCCAGCAGTGGGCGGGCCAGAAATCTCGAGGGCCGTCGCGCTCTCGCAGCAGCGCCAGCGCCTGCATCCCAGCATCCACCGCTGCCACGTAATCCTGAGGAGGGGCGGCAGAGGCAGGCGCCGGGGGGGCAGGAGGGGCAACGACCGCGGCCTTCTGTTGGTGGTCCGCCGCCCAACTTCGCTGGACAGCAAGAGATGTGCGATGTGATGGTCGTTTCAATCCTGCCTCGGGGGCCAAGACGGAGTGTCGGCGCTCCAGCGCCCATGCCCAGTCTTTCCCGTGACAGGGTCTCACAAATACCTCCATGCATGCAGGGTGTCGATTCGCTGCGCCCGCTGCGGGCATAGCGAGGGGGGCGGACTTCTAAGACGGATGGCGGACTTCTAAGAAGGAAGGGTGCTTCTCAGAGGTGACCAGCGGATTCTAAGTACACTCCCGCTCGCGGCAGAGATCGGAAGCCCCTGACTGCATACATATGAATTCCCGGAGGTCCGCCAAGATTTCTCATGTCGTCGCTGCGTCGCTGGAACCCCCTCCCCGCACACCTGCTGGCGCCGTCGGTAACGCGCGGAGAGGGGGGCACAGCGCAGACCTCAGAACTAATGTACCGCCAGAATATCATACTTGTATTACATTGCAGTGAGGGGCAAGGGCGGCGCGAAGAAAAACGGACCAACAATCCAGTATGTGTTCGAGAACACGCCCAGCTATCACCCCTTCTACGGTGCCCAAACAACAATGTCTACACCCATGGCGTGAAAGTAAGATGCCAATGTAACGTCGACAACCGCGTAATACATCACCCAGAATCAGGAGTTGAAGTGTCCACATTTTGTCCCACGCGCGTTGCCTCGAGCCCGCCCCCAAAAACTTTGGGACGTCCAGTTGGGGGCGAGGGCTATCGATATTGATGTGTCTTTTCGTCGCCTTGCCCTGACACGATTGTAACGTCAGCTTGTTGCATAGTTGCGGTTGCGACTGCGGTTGCGGTTGCGCCTGCGGTCGGATTGAAATGTGTCGCCTAGTTGCGGTTACGGTTGCGCCCGCGGGCGGGTCGAAATGTGTCGCCTATCTGCGGTCGCGGTTGCGCCCGCGGGCGGGTTGAAATGTGTCGCCTAGTTGCGGTTCTGGTTGCGCCCGCGAGCGGGTTGAAATGTGTCGCCTAGTTGCGATTGCGGACGCGGTTGCGCCCGCGGGCGTGTTGACTTGCCTAGTTGCGGTTTCGGTTGCGCCCGCGGGCGGATTGAAATGTGTCGCCTAGTGGCAGTTGCGGTTGCGCCCGCAGGCGGGTTGAAATGGGTCGCCTAATTGCGGTTGCGGTTGCGCCGGCGGGCGGGTTGAAATGTGTCGCCTAATTGCGGTTGCGGTTGAGCCGGCGGGCGGGTTGAAATGTTTCGCCTAGCTGCGGTTGCGGTTGCGGTTGCGCCCGCGGGCGGGTTGAAATGTGTCGCCTATCTACGGTTGCAGTTGCGGTTGCGCCCGCGGGCGGGTTGAAATGCGTCGCCTAGTTGCGGTCGCGGTTGCGCCCAAGGGGTTGAAATGTGTTGTCAAACATGCCCCTCCAATTGAGTCAGAGTCTGGAGGGCATGGAATTTCACCCGGCTCCGCCGGGAATCAGTCGTTTTGAGGCTCCCGTCCACGGGCGTACACGATCCCCTCGGCGGCGCCCGCGACGTCACCATAGCGCGCGTGATTACAACAAATGTTTCGCGCCCCGTAGGTTCTTTTCATCAGCCTCAGCTGGGGGGGCATCATTGAATACTCACACGCTGACATTAGTATAGGCGCTGTTTCTGCAGGCATCGCGTTAGACGCATGTGTGTTCGGGTTTGTTATCATTGTTTGATGTTGTTAAATGTCGTGTTGTTGTTTTTCGAAAGTGGTATTGATGCCATGGACTCTGGTAGTATCAATGGTATTGGTGTCGTTGATGTTCTTGCTGGTGGTGTGTTGGATATGCTTGGTTCACTCGGCGTGTGGGAAACCATTTCTGTGTTCTTTACGCCCCAACAAGAAAGCTACACACGCGAAACAAACGATCCATGCTGTTCGTTTCTGGCTTCGTTGCTAGGCGTTTTCGCACAAGTTGGCTGCATTCTTTAACGTTGCTGTCTACCACGTCCACAGTCCTTTCTCCTGGCGCGCAGTCCCCCCTATATTACCATTATCACTCATATTCCTGTTGCTCTTTTTTTGCTTCGCTGGTGGCAGGGGCGTCGTGCCTCAAGGGCCGGATGGCCGATTGCACCTCCTGGGGCCAACGGGCCCCCGGGCCTGTTCCAGGCCAGTGTTAGACCGGTGTTGGAGCGTGATGTTTGTTGTTGCGTGGTCAGCTCTGAGAGGGAGAACGGCGGCAGAAACGAAAAAGCGGGATCGAAAGCAGCAGGGACGACACGGAACAGCCTTCGACCAGAAAGCAAACAACGTTACAGAAATCTGATCCACAACGACGGGCCAAAAAACACCGGAAGAACACAGCTAAACAAACTCAAAAACCGTCGCGTGTTTTTGGCGTTTGTAGCTTGTGAAAACCCATTGTGAAAAAACAGCAACGCACAACAACAACAACAACACATCCAGCAGCGAGCATTTTAAGACTGTTCGCTCTTACTGGCACGCGTGTCTTGCAGTCTGTATACCCAACTCTCGATGCCCGCCCTCTTCGTCTTCGATCGCACCCCGTTTCCGGGGGGAAACACCTTCCTCGTCGGCCACTGCCTGAAGTGCGAGGAACTCTCGAGCGAGGAGCGCCGTTCCAAAATTCGGGGGCTCCTCGGGCCACGGACGGGCTCTCGGAATACACGTTGAGAACTATCGAGCGGGAGCCCCTGTCGTCGTGTCCAGGCCTCCACCAACTTGCCTGAATCGCGAGAAATTCCAGTGCGAGGGCGCCACTCTTGAGTTCGGGGCGTCTCTGGCCAGGGCCTCTGGGAATACATCATGAGGAAGTATCAAGTGAGAGCGCTTGTCGTCGCAATTGGGCCTCCACCAATTTGGCTGAATAGCGAGAAGGTCTCGAGCGAGAACGCCGATCCTGAATTCAAGGGCCTCTCTGGCCAGGGGCTCTCGGAGTAAGCCGTGAGGAAGTATCGACCAGGAGTCGTCGTGGCTGGGCCTCCGCCAACTTGACTAAATTGCGAGGAAGTCTCGAACGAGAGCGCCGTTCCTGAATTCGGGGCCTCTCTGGCCAAGGTGTTTCGGGGTAATTTGTTAGGAAATATCGAGCGGGAGCTGTTGTGGCTGTAGGTGGGCGTCCAAGGGCACACATTTACAATCAATCCCGAGCTCGAGCAGGAGCTTCGTTTTCAGAGGAAGTGCAGCCAGCGTCGAAGCGAGAGCGTGCGGAAACGTTTCCAGATATCAGCAATAATTATGCTCTAAAATGAAGATTCAACAACAACAACAACAACAACAACAACAACAACAACAACAACAACAACAACAACAACAACAGCAACAATCACTTTACCCGAACGCTCAGTGTTCTCACCAGTGCCAGGGTTTTCATGCGACGCCAGCCAATACCCCCACTTTGTGGGGGGGCAGTGCAAGCTCTACCAAATATCCACACGACTCTTCGCCACCACCCACACCCAGCTTCCCGCCCTATGACGTTCGGACACTTCACTTCGTGGCCTGCGGACGACCGTGGCTACTACACTGGCGTGGAGTACACACCCACAGAAGTTGTTAAGCCTACGTTCGTACACCCACAGAAGTTGTTAAGCCTTGTTAACCCACAGAAGTTGTTAAGCCTTCCACAGAACATCCGTTGCAAGAGCGTGCGAAAGTAGCTCGCGCGAGCTCATGTAACATAAATGTTGGAAAACCATTGGTTTTTTTTAGGATTCGGACAGCGCGCGCGGGTAGAAATTTTGAAAAGTCGTGCAGGTGTTTTTCGAGGACCTACGGTGCGATTCGTGTGATTTTATGATGCGCGGTGCTAAAATTCTTAAGAAGCCCAATGGTTTTTGGAGATTTCGGCGTGCGCGCGCGAAGAAAAAACGAATGTGTCCCGCATGGTATTATTTGACAGGGATGATGGCCCTGGCAGGTGCGCAACCGTTGTCGCAGAAGTTCGAAAAAGTTGCTCGCAAAAGCCCGTTTGACAGAAATGTTTAAAAAGTGTTGGGTTTCCTACGAATCCGCAAGAGCGCGCGGGATGAGATTTTGACAATTTTTTGTTGAAAAACCATTGGTTTTTTGATGTTTTTATGTTAAAATCGCTGCGAACACTAAGGTTTTGGAAGGATTTCGTCTTGCGCGCGCGAATGTCCACTTTACCTTATTTTTTGCAAGGGATTCTTGAAATTTGATTATATTAGAACAAGAAATGTCATTTTCTATTGTTTTTTGCAAGGGAAAGCGGATTACAACAAAACAACCGGATCCTGTACACACCCTCTTTTCTGAGGCTTCCTCACGAAAATGATGAAAATGTAGCTGCGGCCTAGGCGGCGCAGGGGGGGCGCGCACCAGGGGGCCCAACAATAATTATTCTTTAGAATAAATAATGTTCAACAATACCAACAACAACAATCATTTTAAGACTGTTCGCTCTTACCTACTCGCGCGTGCCTCGCCGTATCCCAAGCCCCCGATACCCGCCTTCTTCGTCTTCGATCGTACACCCTCTGGGGGGTACACCTTCCTGACCTGCCACGCGCATTGGGCGCAGCCCCTAAAAGAGCAAGAGGAGTGAGAAGGAGAGAGGGAGAAAGAGAGAGAGAGAGAGAGAGAGAGAGCGACAGAAAGAAAGAGGGAGAGAGAGAGAGAGAGAACAACAAAAAAGAAAAGCGAGGAGGAAAGGAGTGGGGGAAGGGAGGGAGGCAAGGGACAAGGGAGCAGAATTGCGGACGAGAGAGATTAGAAAATGGGGGACTTACGAGAGGATCCAGAAAACAAGCGGCAGACCCGAACGGTTGGGTCGGGCAACGGTCCCCAACTGGCGGGTCGGGCGGGCGGGGCCTGCAGACCCGCCGCGGGCGGACCCTACCGTGCGGGTCGGGCGTGCGAGCTTCCATGCGAACCGCCGGGCCTGCCGTCACAGGCAAGTCAGGCGGGCGGCCCTGACGGGCTGGTCCGGCGGTCGG